AGTAGGGGTTGATCCTGAAATCATGACCTGAGCTGAAACCAAGAGTCAGACGCTTAACCGACTGTGGCCCCAGGTGCCCCAATTGTGTTTTGGTTTTAATAGATGAGTAATGAAATTGAGCAAAAGGTCCCTGTCTTTGAAAGAGGAGGCCAAGCACTCAAGACAGCTCCTCAGGTAGGGACCAAACCCAGAGAGTTCTTCCATTCACCAAGTCTCATTGGTTTAGGCCTGCACTGAAGGGGACAAGCTGGAATGTTTCCAATATACTTGACAATTCAGCTCAAACCATCTTTTTATTATTATCATTGAGGTATAATTGACACACTGTATTAATTTCAGGTGTGCAACACAGTGATTCAACGTTTGTGTTGTGACATAGTCGCCACAGTGAGTCTCCTGTCACCTTATGAAGTCAAGACAATATTACTGACTATATTCCCCACGCTGTACATGACTTCCTCACGACTTATTTCATAGCTGCAAGTTTGTACTTTTTGTCCCCTTCACCCATTTTGTGCCCCAACCCCTTCCCCTCTTCCGTCCCGCAACCACCCATCGGTTCTCCGTATCTGTGAGTCTGGGTTTTGTCTTGCTCCGTGTTTTAGATCCCACATATAAGTGAGATTACAGTTCAGACCATCTTAATCAAAGATTTGACCAGTAACAACAAAGAAAATGACAAGACCTGGGCTGCCCCTTGCGGGGCCACAAGGAAATGCTGAGGTGAGTGGGTGCGCATGCGGCACGGCCAAGTCCTTCCCCGGGGCCCCAACAATGCCGGGACTCAGACTACGGAACCCCGCATCAGGGCACAGACTAAGGGTAACGTTATCTGTGCTAGTGAGAGCATTATTCCAGCCGTTTATCTGTGCGGACCCCCCGGGGGTGGTCTTCACTGGCCCGGAAGAAGACCGGGAGGGCACTCGCACCTGCATAAACAAACTTCATCACCAACTTCGCCATTTCTTCTCCTGAAAACCCAGTCTTTCCTAAAGAAACCATTTGAGGCCCTGTTCTCCCCCCTCGCTTTCTTCCATTAAGTTAGGTTCTAAACCCCACCTTTAACTCACGCATATGAATAATCTAATGTATTGAATATTCTCATTCACATGCATAAGAATAAGCTCTGTCTCCTCTATTAATTTGTCTTTCGTCAGTTAATTCGAAGGCTGCGAATCACGGAACCTAAAAGGGGAAGAGGAAAGGGTTTTCTTCTCAACAGCCCTGTGAAGAGCAGTAGGACCCATCCACCGGGCTCCCTCACCCCATTTCCCCGAGCATTAACCTATTTAGCCCAGCCGTTCCAGTTAAACTAGGATTTTGAGAGGGCCCGAGTGACCCAAGGGTCTGGTGAAGAGCCACCCAAGTCCAATTTTAAAGCTGAGCTTCCGCCCGCGTTTGCGGGTGAGGAGTCCCCCAGCCTGGTAGGCTCAGCGCGGTGACGGTCTAGGGAGGAGGCTGCTCCGACCCCCGGTCAAGCTCCGCGCGGCCGGGCCGGGACTCCCGAGGTCCGCCCCTGCAAGGAACAGGCTCCCTCTCCCAAGGGCGCCAGGCACTTCCCCGCTCCCCCTCCACGCCGAGTTCGGACAGCAGAACGTTTTCTGCCAGGGGACAAATGTGGGGTCCAAGTCAGCCCAGCATTCTGAAAGTAGGGTTCCATTTGTGGCTTAGTGTAGGAGGATATATTTTTTGAAAACCCAAAGTAAAGGGGACCCGAAACAATATTCCTCCGCCCAGTTTGGAGGGGGCTGCAAGAGGGATCGAGAGCTCCAAACGTTAAGTGCCGCCGGACGGCCGGGCTCCGACTCCGGCCTCCCGCGTCAGCGCCGGGCTCCGGGGCATCCTGCTGGCCGCGCAGGCGGAGCCCCGCGACGCGAGCCGCCCCTCCGGGCGCACCCGCCTGGGTCAGCTTACCTGCCGGGCTGGGCAAGGGGCGAATGGTGGGCCTCCTTGGGGGCGGGACGGCCGTGGGAGCCGGATGTGGGTGCCGGCTGCAGGACGGGGTGCGGTGCAGAAGCTCGGGGGTCGGAGAAGGCCTGCGGGAGCCCGCGCCCACAGAGCGTGTGCGCAACCGGGCGCCCCTAGGCCGCGACCCGAGCGGGGCCCGAGGGAGCCTGCGGACGCCCCCAGCGGCCCCCATCCCTTCCCGGAGCCAAGCATCCCGCGCGGCTCCGTCCGCCCCCGTCAGGGTGGGGCGGCGGGCGGGCCCCGAGCCGCGGCTGGGCTCCCCGAGGGCCCGGGCGCCCCCGCACGGCCCTGGGACTTGGCGGACAGCCCCGGGAGCTTAAAAACAGCCGCGCCAGACCCCACCCCAAACCAGTGAAACCGATCTCGGGGGTGGGCCACCCGCCCCTGCAGTTTGTAAAAGCTCTCCAGAGGGTTATTTCATGCAGCGACCTGTGATCCATTTTCTAAAAGGATTAAACTTCTAGCGCGTCCAAAGTCGATACGGGACTTTAAAGACCCATTTTCTGAAATGATCAGAGAGAGTCTAGGGTAAAAAGTAAAACGAAAGGGGCGTACTTACGTTTTCATTGACTTTCTTGGTTTTGATTTTGAAAATTGGTTTCAAGTGCTGGCATGAAAACCTAACTGACCCCCTAAAAACCTTGCATTGAATACACGTGCATTGTGTCAACAAATACCTTCCTTTATCAAATACACTTGTACTTTATAGTTGTCTTTTTTTTAAGTTTTCATTTATATATTTGAGAGCGAGAGAAAGAGATAGCTAGAGAGTGGAGAGGGAGAAGCAGGCTCCCGGCTGAGCAGGGAGCCCCATGCAGGACTTGATCCCAAGACCCTGAGATCATGACCTGAGCCAAAGGCAGACGCTTAAACTTGACTGAGCCACCCAAGCGTCCCTATACTTGTGGTTAAAAAAAAAGTAAAAGAAAAAAGTGTTGCATCAGAGAAAAGGTGAATTTTGCTGTACTTAATCTGCCATCATGTGTCCCCCCTCCCAAAAAGGCGAATCAAGCAAATCTGAATGTGCAAATGTTCCCAGATGCAATCTGCATACTCCAAGCTATTCCCTAGCAAATGCAAAGGATGACAAGTGTCAGTACTTCATACAACTATATTTAATAAGTTATTACAGAAAAAAATGAAGTCCAAACTACAAAGTTTAAGCAGTTGTAAGCAATAGCTGCATTGAGCTCCATGTGTAGTCACAGTACTGCAGTTCCATACAAGCAATATTAGTCCAAGCCCCAAAGGCAGAAGCTGAGTAAGGGTTACTAGCAAAAACAATCTAAGAGAACAGGTAATAAAAGATACAATACATTTAAAATTAGTTGTTAGTTGAAAAACAAATACAGAGATCTTAGCTGTGAACACTCTAAAAGTTATGTCCATTATTTTGACAGCAAAAATACAAATACCTAATACTTTATACCCCAACAGAACTATATCCAGAAAAGAAAGAGAGCAGAAGTTATCCTGTATTAGCACCCGAGTTTTCTACTTGTTGCCATTAACTGCATCATACAAATTTAAACATCCCTAAATCACATATCCACTTCTTGACCCATTTTGGGGTATAAAGTCAACAGCATTAATTATAAAATACTCTGTGGTAAAATGGAACACTATTGCAGCTGAGATAGAGAAGTTTGGTTATTATAAAAAAAAACAAACAGAAAATGTTAGCTGACATACCATACAAACTGGTGAAAAAGCAACAACCCATACAAATAAGCCACTTTTAACAAAAAGATACTTTTTTTCACTAATCTGTGACTAATCTTTCACTCAAACCTTGCAAGTAGAGATGTCACAATACTCAAATATTTAGGTAGGAGCTTTACCCAGTTAAATGCCATTTTGTTGCTAATATAATAGATAAAATGAAAACTAGCAGTTACTTGCTAATTGCATAAATGCAGTACACTCTGCATTAGCCCATGCCTCACTAACAAGCTATAAAACACAAGAAATAGGCAGAAATCTAAGCATAATCTTGATACCACTAAACAAGAATTTTCCAATTTCTTTTCTTCTGTTCCTAATCACTTATTTGTAGTTAATGTAAAATTCCAACCAGTAGTACCCAATTTGAGTTAAAATTTTACATCACGACTTGATCTAATCTATATATTATTTACAAAACTGAATACATAGAGCATACCCAAGAGCCAACTCTGGACACACGTTTCTCCAAGTTATTGATAACCTCACCTCCACAGCAATGGAGCTGGAAGGGGGCCATCAAGGACTAGTAGAAACACACCATCTATCTAGAGCAAGTCATTGAATGTTCTGTTTACGCAACACCAGTTTTGCAGTCGTAGGTATTTTGAGTTTGTTTTCATTTGAAGTGCCAGTACAGGGACACGCTGCCCTAACATCATGGCTTCAAGGTGAGGTGGGTGTTGGAAAAGCAGGAGGGTGGACAGATCATCCTCGGAGTGGCCAGATGTGGCCACAAAGAGGGACGAACAGGGGGCACAAAACGGGGGGGTGGGGTGGGTGGGTGGTGGTGGAGGAAGACGGAGTCTGAGACTGTCCATATACAGTGGTGATGTCCGAGTGTGCTTCCTCCGCACGCCACCCACGCCAGACGGGAGGGAAGTCAGGAGGGACACCGCGATCCAAGTCTCACTACAAAGAAGGTGGCGTCCACCCGGCAGCGTCCCTCTGCTCTCGGACGTCACCACTGTAAATGCAAGGGGAAGATTTGGCCTGGGCGAAAGGCTCCGTCTCACACATGGACAGCAGTTGGTGGCAGATTCTCTCTCTCTCACACACACATGCACGCACGCACACAGGACATAATGAAGAGTTAGAGGGGAAAAACAATGAATCACTCTGTTGACCTAGCCGGGTTTTCAACCTGGTGGTATTTCGGTGGGGGTGACTCCATTATCAGGGCCCCAGATCTGGCTGCACCTGGTGTTGTATAAATCCACTGTGACATCCCTAGAGAACTGTACTGTGACATCCCTAGTCTTACACTAAACCACTGTAATAAAGGAAAAGGCTTGTCAAAATCTCACATGTTCTGCTCATTCTGTCATTTTATTACCCAATTATCCATTACATTTTCCAATCACTTTACATAACCAACCATGTTCATCGTTGTCACACTATTGTAAACCACATCAGCAAGTTAATACATAAAGCTTTGCATTTCAAAAAACTAGACACTTTAGTAACAATATTACAAAGGTTTTAGCTTCAAAAATAACTGAAAATGAAAAAAATAAACTTTTAAAGAATTAGCATCATAAAATTAATTTATTCCAAGTAAAAATACAAAATAATATTATGACATTGACCAGATATGAAAGTCCCTCCCAGAAACAACTCTATTAATGATTGAGAAAGCACTCCTTAAAGAAAATACGAAATAAAATGAAAAATATGTAAATATGTTTAATTTTTTTCTTAGCAAAAAATCTTTCTAAAAATAACAATGAAAATTTGTCTCAGTACAAAGGCTACATTACTATTGAAAAAATACCAGCATGAAGAAAAGGTACATATTTGACAGTAGAAAAATGATTTCAGTGAATCACAATGTCTAAAGTTTGCAATGAAAATAAATCTGCAATAAAGATTTATGCCTTTTTTCTTTTCTTTTTTTTTTCTATTTTTTATACAAACAGTACAAACAGTATTGCACATAACAACAAATAGTCGAGGTTAGGTTTTAGCCTTCAAAAAATCGACTAGTTCAAGTGTCACATCAAGGAAAGGCCACAACAGGACCTGTGATACCCAGGGGCTTCCCAGTCAAGTTGCAGGTCAGAACACCTCTTGTGTTTTAAAAAATAATTTTTTTTTTGAAGGACCCTCTCTTTTAATATAACATTAACAACTTGGGGGCACATTTATTTACAAAACAAAAGGGAACATGTTATAATTTAATAAACTAAAAAAGTTCTCTTTAAAAAAATACAAACAGAAGAACTCTTTCACAATCCTGGTCAGTCGTGCACAATCAACGCTTGATTATAAATATACAAATGAAGGGAAAGTAGTTTCCACCATCTATCCACAACTTTCAGCACCAAAGGGAGTTTATTCTTTGTAACCTATTCTTCATGACAATGGTTTTCACCTCCACATCAGCTTCCCGCTGTACAAGCTTCCAGCTTTTTTTTTTTAAATCTCAGTGTTGTTTTAGTACATGAAAGAGGGGTGCTTCTTCAAAAAGTTTTGCTTCTTTCACATAATTAGGTAGATTTCTGTAGGTTAGATATGATCTTTAATATTATAGTTATAAAGCTCTAACTTCATTTTCAAAAAACACAAATAAGCATGAAAAAAATAAAGTTACCCATCTGTTAAATCATTTTTTCTTGCAGAATTAAATTAATATATATTTTTCTGAATAAACTTACTTAGAAAATATCATTTTCTTTCCTATATTTCAAAATTGAGGTATTGCAAAAGATCATGTCAGTCAGAAAGCATGCCTTTTTCCTTAAAAACAAACAAACAAAAAAATCTTCAGCCAACTTTTGAAAACTGTCTAGAATACAAAAAGTAGTAGTGCATAACAAAATTTCTTGTACAGATGAAAAAAACCACAAACATAGAAAAAAAAACAAACAGAAAACCACAGCTGGGCTGGAAAAACGCAATTGTTACCAAAAAGCCCAGAGGTAACCTCAAAAGGGGAGAAGTCTAATAAGCATTTTTAATCCAGTAAAAAACTATTTTGTTTTTTTCCTTTTTGAAAACAAACTATAGTTTGAGAGCTGGTAATTGCAACTAAACACTGGAGAAACAAAACAAAACAAAACAAAAACAAGCAGTCTTAAGAGACAGGACAAGGAAATCAGAGCACATAAAACACAGCGACTTAAATCTGTTCTGCAGTGTCATATCCAGTCAGATTGTCCCCAGAATTCCAAAACATAGGAAGAAGATTAAAAAAAAAAAAAGATTTACATAGTCTCACAATCATTGTGTGTGTTTATATATTACTATCTGCAGCCCAAGAGTGAATGCTAAAAAAATGTCCATGGTAGTTCTAGCAGGTCTTATTTCTATTCAAGCTTTACAGGATAAATCCAGGGAATTAAGTAGTTAAATTTCTCACCCAGACAACCAGCCCTGCCCAGGCCATCTTGTTTTGGACAGACATTTCTTTAGCATCACCGCCACGCAACTTTCTTAAAATGTGCCTAGTTTGTCAATCTGACAACTTATCTCTATATACTGTATATATTCCTAGTGTTTGTAAGCTAAGATGAGCTCTTTGGTTTTCTGGACAAGGTCTGAAGCTATGTAAATGGTGCAAGCACTAGGAGATTGTAACTAAGAGCTCATGTGTTAGTTAATAATATACCAGTTATGAACTGTCAAGTTCGTTAATGTCTGACACAGAGGCTTTAAACAGTTAAGTTTGATCACAGTTAGACATAATCACTTTACTATATAAAATAAATTGCACAATATATAACAGAGCACCGCAAAGTACTTCATCTACCATCCACAAATTTGCTTTAAGAATATCCTACACCTAGGTTTTATATTGGTTGTAATATAGGTCATTCTGTTATGGGCTCTTCCTAATTTCAGAAGCATTCCATTTATTGAGGCATGCCTTCCTCCAGTCAATTACCAATTCTTTGAGTGAAAAAAAACTCTTTTAAAAAATCAGTTATTTTATAGCTTATATAGATTCTTAATTTGTGCATTGTGGGAAGGTTTTATACTAGACATTGGATATAAAATTTATTGCATGCAGCAACCTGATTAAGTAAACATGCAGTCAGAAATAGTGACCTTCCGTTGAAGCTTTCTGTAGTCTATTCTGATCTCCTTTCGGCAGCTGATTCTATCCCTAAATCACAAACGTGTGTTGTTGGGTTTCTTTAAATTGATACCTTAGCCTGAAGAGAGTATTATGGTATTAATAATACCATCTTAATAGCAGCAAAAGCTATTGCAGCATAAATTTACATAACACTAAAAGATCTAACCAAAATCCTCAGCAAAACAAAAATCAAACATGAAGGAAAAATAAAGATTCAGCTTATGAGGTATCCTTACATGTCAAAATAGAAAACTAAAGGCCTATTTTCATTAAGGGTTACCCTTACTCTAAATGACCCCAACTAATGATTGCTGAACTGTTGTGAAGTTTTTGCTACATCTGCCACCTACTCACGAGTATTACCTTTGGTAAGTCTTCTCCTAGGGGCAACTCTCTAAGTTTCTGAAAATAAGTGCATGCTCCAGTTCAAAAACAATCAGAACAACAACAACAACAACAACAACAACAACAACAAACAAACAAAAATCACAGACATCAACCTGATGGCCGCTGATGAGAATGGCAGTCTACGAGTGACAAATCAGGTGTAAGAAATTAAGGTACCAAGCAGACAAAGGTGTGAATCAAAGTGCAAATCAGTACCGTTATACACTCTGCAATTTTGCATTATACTGGACACTGAGTTCAGTAATATGACTGTAAATAATAGTAATAATAAAAAGACCCATTTCTTCTTTAAAAATCGAGAACGAATGCACAGATTTCCAGAACACTGTAAGCCCTGAGGCAGTGCCCTCTCTTTTTCCCTCCTTGTTATCTACTCCAGTACTTGTGGCTGGGTCTGCCCTGGGCTCAGCTCCAGCGGAACGGGACGTGCCGAGGGCGGTCGCCTCCCTCCTTCACCAGCGGTTTGTGGAACTCCCGCCCGGCGCGGGAATGTATGCTCGCCCAGCAGTATTCGCAGTAATACTGCAGACAGGTGACGTTGGCACAGAAGAACGGGGCAAACTTCCCACCACAGCGCGTGCCCTGGCACTCATCACACATCTGATCATCCAGCACATATGGCTTCACTTCCACCTGGACCCAAAGAGGAAAGACAGGAAAACATGTTTAGCAAGGCTTCCTCACGTCTCTTCCTTTGAGGGATTACAGTATAGCTTAATGACAGGTGCTGGGCAGACAAAGGTGTGAGTCAAAGTGCAAATCGGGGCTTTGGAATTGCTACACTTACAGGTGGTGTGATCACAGGCAAATTCTTAACCTCCCTCTGTGCTTCTGTTTGCTCTGTGTGTCTGTAAAGTGCGTATAATTTATACACAGATGTGGACACATATCTGCATATCTCTAAAATGGGAACAACAATGTCCGCCTCCAAGGGTGCTGGTGAGGATTAAGAGAGGTAGTGTGTGTAAAAGCACCTGAGTGGAATCCTGAAGGCCAGGCAGCACCTGGCCATGAGGGGTGAGAGAGCGCGGGTCAGGGAGAGGAACCAGGGAGAGTTCAGGGAGAGGACAAAGCCCGAAAGCAGGTCAAGGCAGGGCACGTAGTTGGGGAATGGTGTGGCCTGAGCCAGGCCGGAGGGGAAGAGTCATGTGGCCGGCCAGACAGGCTGAGATGTGATACCACAGTGAAGCTCTGGGTCTCCGTGTTTCAGTGACAAGGCTTCCAAAAGTCTATCATCCCAGGGCCCTGTCCAGAGGACTAGACGGGAAAGCTGAAGGGGCTAGTGAAATGCTAAGCTATTATAATAATTGAGACTTTCTTATTTTTTGGACTTTATTGCCTTAATCTCCCTCCATAACTGGAAGCTTCACTAGAGGAGAGCTTTTCCTCACAGCCCTTCAGGGGGCATTTCATAATTGAAACAAAGCAATGCTGTGTATGTGGAAATCAAAGGCAGGAAGAACAGTTACCAGAGTTTTCCCCATGTCCCCTTCCTAGAACCCACAAAAGGTACATCATTCATGTTTTCATCTTGAATGTTAGAAATTCGCATCAAGGTGGCAAGTCTGTGATTGGGCCCCTTCCCACGCAGCCCTCCAAAGCCATTCTGGGGAAAAGCGACCACTGTGGCCATAGAGACAAGGACCCAGGGCTTTTTGACAGGAGCTAACTGCCTGGTGATTCAAACTGCCTCGGTGTGGCCGGGAGGGCCTAGCAGGGCATTGAGGCAGGGTGCAGGAGAGGGGAAGCAGGGGGGACAGCATGCGGGAAGCAGGAAAGGGGGCCCACCTAGGATCAGACACTCCACTTTCCTGGCTCCCCCCCCACCCCCCTTTGGAAGGTCCCTCTGCTGGCCTCCTCTGGAGTTCTGTCTCTAGCCATGACTCCAGTCCACAGGACGGTCAGCCAGCCAGATACTCGGGCTTGGAAGACCCACCTGAGAAGACCTGTATCAGCTCTTGGATACCCAGGGGTAAAGGTTTTTACTCTGGCTCTAGTTCCCTTCTTCCAATTTCCCTCTCCTCAACCTTACAAGTTAGTGAATGGGCTTCAAAAAAATCTCTTGCATTGATCTCTGCATCGTAACTAGAACTGTAGTGGCTCTGGGGTCAGCTGCCTGGGTTCAAATCTAGGCCATTCTGAGCCTGTGTCCTCACCCATGCACGGGGGTGGGGCGGGGAGAAGAATTCATACTTGACAGGGTTCCTAGGAGGATTAAATGAGTTAACGAGCATACAGCCCAGGAACAGGCCTGGCCCAGCCTGAGTATGAAGCATGGCTCAGATTCCTGCTGCGTCCCCTCTCGAGCAGGCCGTCCCAGCTCGACCGGGCATGTTCACCGCTGACGCCCCCGCACTGGCCACCAAGCTCCAGGCCTTCCCTGGCTCATTCTACTGTGAATATGCTGACATCTCAATTCATCTTCTCCTGTGGTGCTCCTCTCCTGGTCACAAGCCATTCCAATTCTCTGCTGCCCACAGGAGTAAGCCCTGCTGCCTCAGTCTGACAGGGTGCTCCCCGTCTCCCGCGACTCAGACACAAGCCAGAGGCTGCACCATCTGCCCCAGGCTCCCCAGCAGGGCCCCAACTCACACTCTACCTGGCTCCCACCTTTACTTACACTTTCTTCCCACCTTCAATGCTCAGCCCACTGTTTTATGTACCCAATGAGGCCAGGTCTTTCTTTTCTTTTTAACATAAAATTAACAATTTTAAAGAGACCATTCAGTGCCATTTAATACATTCACAGCGCTGGACAACCACCACTTCTATCTGGTCCCCAAACAGTTTCATCCCCCAAAGGAGACCCTGTACCCACTAAGCAGTTATCCCCCCTCCCCAACCCCTGTTAATGGCCAGCCCACCTTCTGTCCCTACGGATTTAGCTAGTCTAGATATTCTAAATGAACGGCATCACATAGTATGTGACCTTTTGTGTCTGATTTCTTTCACTTATCGTCATCATATGTTGTTCAATTCACGCTCTAGCCTGCAGCAGTATTTCATTCCTTTTTATGACTGAATAATATTCCATTATATGTGTGTGTGTGAGAGAGAGAGACAGACAGACAGACAGACAGACACATTTTGTCTATCCATTCACTGATGGACACTGGGTGGTTTCCACCTTTTGGCTATTGTGAATGGTGCTGCTATGAACATATATGTACATATCTTTGTTTGATTACCGGTTTTCAATTCTTTTGAGTATATACCTAGAAGGTATATACTCAAGAATTGCATATGGCAATTCTGTGTTTAACTTTTTGAGGAACTGCCAAATTATTTTCCATACAGGCTGTACCATTTTACACTCCCACGAGCAAAGTTGCAGGGTTCCAATTTCTCTACATACTCATCAATATTTGTTGTTTTCCATTTTGTGACCTGCCATCATAGTAGGTGTGAAGAGGTATTTCACTGTGGCTTGATTTGCATTTCTCTACTGACTAATGACATTGAGCATTTTTCATGTGCTAGCTGGTCACGTGTAGATCTTTGGAAAAAAGTCTATTCAATATGAATGTATTAAGTGCTCTGGATTGCTCACTTTATTTTTTTTTTTTTTTAAGATTTTATTTATTTTTGACAGAGAGAGAGACAGCGAGAGAGGGAACACAAGCAGGGGGAGTGGGAGAGGGAGAACAGGCTTCCCGTGGAGCAGGGAGCCCGATGTGGGGCTGAACCCAGGCAGGACCCTGGGATCATGACCTGAGCCGAAGGCAGACGCTTAAATGACTGAGCCACCCAGCCATCCCTGGATTGTTCACTTTAAAATGGTTAATATTTTATGACTTTAACCTCAATTAAAAAAAATAATTTAAGCTCTTAAAAAAACTAGAGGGGGAAAAACCCACATAACTATATTCTATTCTATTTTTTTTTTAAGATTTTATTTATTTATTTGAGAGAGAGAGCACATGAGAGGGAGGAGGGCCAGAGGGAGAAGCAGACTCCCTGCCAAGCAGGGAGCCCGATGTGGGACTTGATCCAGGGACTCTAGGATCATGACCTGAGCCGAAGGCAGTCGCTTAACCAACTGAGCCACCCAGGCGCCCTATTATATTATCATTTTTATTCCTAAACATAAGTAACTTTTTAAAAAAAGATTTTATTTTTTTGAGAGAGAGAGAGAGAGAAAGCACAGAAGGAGAGGGAGAGGGAGAAGCAGACTCCCCACTGAGCAGGGAGCCCGATAATGTGGGGCTCGATCCCAGGACCTTGGGATCATGACCTGAGCTGAAGGCAGATGCTTAACCGACTGAGCCACCCAGGTGCCCCTAAACATAAGTAACTTTTTAAAAAAACTACCAAAAAGTCTCTCTGTGCTAAATTTGAATCTCCTTCATTGCTCTTTTCGTATTTGTATGTATTATAAAGGACTATTGCTGTTCTTGAAGTGAACAATCCCTTGCCCATTTTTAAATTCTTTTTGTTGTTGAGCTGTGAGAGTTCTTTATATATGCTAGATACTAGACTTCCATCAGACATATGATTTGCAAATATTTTCTCAATTGTTTTACTTTGTTGACAAGGTCCTTTGATGCACAAAAGTTTAATTTTGATGAAGTCCAATTTATCTATTTTTTTCTTTTGTTGCTCCTCCTTTTGATGTCATATCTAAGAATCCACTATCAAGGGGTGCCTGGGTGGCTCAGATGGTTAAGCGTCTGCCTTCGGCTTGGGTCATGATCCCGGGGTGCTGGAATGGAGCCCCACATTGGACCCCCTGCTCAGCGGGAAGCCTGCTTCTCCCTCTCCCTCTACTGTTCCCCCCTACGTGTGCTCTCTTGCTCTGTCAAATAAATAAATAAAATCTTAAAAAAAAATCCACTACCAAACCCAAGGTCATAAAGATTTACCTGTTTTCTTCTAAGAGTTTTATGGTTTTAGCTCCTGTACTTAGGTTGATTTTTAATTAATGTTGTATATAGTGTTGAGGCAGGGGTCCAACTTCATTCTTTTGCATGTGGATACCCAGTTACCCCAGCACCATTTGTTGAAGAGAACTGTTCTTTACCCACTGAATGGCAACCTTGTCAAAAATCAGTGACAGGCATAGCCTTCCTTAACTATTTCAGTCCCACATGGATCTTAGTCCTTCCTCCCTGAGCTTAATACTCCATACCGCTCCTCTGGCATTTCCTATCTATAGTCCTTCCTTGGTCGGCATCTCTCCTGAGCTTCAAGCGACTTGATGACAGAGTCCTGGAGCAAGACAGGACAGTGGCTGGTCCAGAGAAGAAGGTGGTCTTCAGAGATTGTGGACTTTTGCGGGAATGGAGCTATTGGCTTATTAGAGTGTATCAACTTGGCCTGATCTCCTTGCATCTGAAAGCCAGGAAAGAGTCAAAATGGTGGAATGACCCCCCTCTGCTCTGAAGCTAGAGGACTACTGGTAGAGGCAGGGTGTTCAGGGAACTGCTTTTCCACCACCAGCCTATGAGCTGAAGACCACTTTGCTTCTACCGCCAGGCAGATACCTATACTCAGGGTGCCCCAGCAACCAGATCTGAGCCTCGTTAAGCCTAGATCGGAGAGAGAACTGGTCTGAACAAACAGAATTCACACTCAGCAAAAGGAAGCTGCTGGAAGAGAAAGACAATAGCCATTTATAATACATACAAATATAA